TTGGTTTTTATTTTATAAATAAACACACTATATAATAATATTATAATTTCCAAATCTAAGTCTTACAGGTTCAACTAAAATTCTTCTAAAGTTCTCACCATAGCTTCTTCAGTGACGGTGCCAAAAATTTGGACCCCCAATTATGGAGTAATTTAGCTTGCAAAAGATGGTAAAAAACATGACCAAAATTTAAATTTAGTGGATACTGTGCAAAATAGAAATGCTATAAAATTTTGAAAATAGTTTACACACTAGGGATACTACGCAACTATATGTATCGTTTCAAATAATATAGGGTTTTCTTTAAAGACCCTAGTATCGATCCCACAGAGAAGCGAGTAAGAATTCTCATAGGCTAATTCTAGTATACTACTATCAGGTCTTAGTTTGGAATTTTTAAAAAGTTTGGTTTTCCTAAATTTACTAATTTACCATAAAATTAAAGTTAATTAAATTAACTGAAAACCTAATCTAAGGAGACTGGTTAAAAGGTTTTTATATAATTAAAATCTCTTTCCCCTTGAGATGAGATTGTAATCAGTGAAGGAATCAAATATTTAAAGTTAAAAATGTAGTTTTGTGACAAATATAAACAATTATATTCTTTATCCTCTTTACGAGCGACAAAGAACTTTGGCTAATCTAGAGTTTAGTCCCTAAATTCACGGTTAGGCTGAGAAGATACTAAGCTCTCACCTTAGAGTCACCACATTCCCTCGCCTGAGGGTTAAAAATCTCCCTTTAATTTCCAAACACTTGGACCAAATTGGGGATTTTAGTCTGCCACCCTAAAATGATCAATTTTGAGCTCATCAAAGTTTATTTCCCTATTTATTTTTCCTCAACCTCATGGACTGCATTCTCATCCATGAAATCAAATGTGGTTCTACTTTATTGAGAATTACACCGCCCTCTCAGATCTTAATGTAATTACAATGAATTTTAACACTACAACAAACCTTTATTGTAATGTAAATGAAGTTCAAGTAAAAATCATCAAAATTTTGACATAAAAGAAATATTCAAACCATTCTAATCTTACACATGATTAATTCTCATCATAAGGAAAAAGAGTAAAAAAAAACGGCTCACTAAGTGTGGAGAAAACACATGGATTTCTCATTGCAAATGATTACAATAATTCAAAGCAAATACAAAAGAGTCCAAGACTTATCTTTACAGAAGATTCACTCCCTCCTTGTACTGTAAATAAAAATCCCTTACACTTCTTCCAACATCCCAAAAGCCACCATGACTCCACAAGAGACTTCTCCACTTACAAACACATGCCACCTTGAAGAGGCACACCAAACTCCTCTCCAAATCTCTCCTAAACTCCCCTTCTAGACTCCTCTTCTAAAAGACATTAGCCCACCTTTTTAAAAAGAAACCAAGCACCTCTTTTTTCTAAAAGACACACATCTTCACTCCAAGAGACACACCTCTTCACATTCCAAATGTCTAGATTCATTGTACCACTCTTTAGGGTGTGCATAACAGCTAGGAGTGTTCCAGAACATCCCAGAATAGCCCGTAATAGCCCAAAATCCATCCAATAACTGTCTCAAGCGCTTAGGCACTAGTTTGGGTGCCTATGTGCCACTCTACAGGCAGCACCACCGTTTTGCCTCGTTTCGCTCCGTTTCACACTGTTCGCTCTTAACTGTTATACCTACATGATAAGCATGAAAACAATCTTTCTTTAAAGTGTAATTTTGTTCAAAAATATGTAATAAATGTAAATGAGATTAAACATAGAAAGACATATCGAAATGTGTCAGGTCAAAATCTAAAGAGAAATAAATTTAGCTTCATTAATACTCATTTTTGAAGTAAATGACTTCAAATTGCACCATTTTGCTTCATTTTCTCTAAAACTCCATTTATAGTACCTGAAACTAAAGACATGCAAAAATAGCTTTCTTTAAAGTGTAACATCATTAAAAAAAATTAAAAATAAGCATTAAAGGTATATAAAAAATTAGGTAATTTTTAGGCGTGTCAAGAATCATTAGAATGGGAGATATAAAGTTATATGTTGTAAATTAAGATCTCATTTGGATTATGTAGATGATTATATTATCTTCTGTAATATGAGTAAAAATAATATTAAGCATATTAATACTCATTTTTTAAATTGTGTCAGGTATGTAATTCAATAAGCCTAAATGTGAGTTCTATGCTAGTAAAGGGGTGCAAGTTGATAGGCAACAATGGATTAGAAAATTTACTGGTTTTAAAGAGTATTCTCCTCCTATCAAATATTTGGGAATTAAACTTAATACGGCTAGAAAGAAATATATTCTTTTTTTATGTTATTTATAAAGTTAATACTTGTATTCATAGTTGGAAAAACTCTTTCTTTTATTTTGAAGGAAGGACTACTCTTTGTATGTTCTTCAAGTCACGAAGATGACTAAAAGTATGCAAACAAAGTTAGGTAGAATTTTTTAATAAATTTCATTGGGATGGTCATGGTCAAGGTGTTCATCGGACAAATTGGGATAGATTGTGCAGATCAAAAAACTGTTTGGGCTTGATTTTAGATAGATCTTTTAAACAATATATAGAGATTAATTTTTGTAAACTCTGGATTACTTTTAAAGAAAATATTAGTCTTTGGGCTATGTTTATGCAAAATAGATATTGTAAATTCATTCATCCTTTGGATTTTACTCCAAAGATTGGTGATTCTCTTATGTGGAAAGAAGGTTAGGGAGAAGGTTGAGGACATGATTTTATGGGAGTTGGCTGAAGGGAAAATAGATTTTTATAGGGTTGATTGGACTATTAAGGGTCTTATATGTGGTTTCAATTAGGATATGGTCATTGGCAATAATATTATCTCTGATTTTTGGAATCAAGACAGTTGGAATATTGATAAATTGAACCAGGTGCTGCCTAAAGAGATGGTGGAATATGTATAGAGTATTCCTTTTGATAGATCTAAGAAGGATGGCTTAAAAGGTAAATTTGTTGTCAATAATTCTATTACCAAAAGTATTGCTAACAGGTTATATCATGATATTAATAATAATTAGGAGAAAGGCCATCTAATATGGAAAAAATTTTCGAAGCCTTCTCAATTCTTTTTTGCTTGGAGAATGAGAATCTTGTTCTTACCTTTGGATGGCATTTTTAATGTAAAGGGGCTTAATTTAACTTCTATCCGTCTACTGTGTAGGCAGATTCGGGAGTCATTTGGACATATTTTTTTCTTGTAGGTATTCATTTTTGGTGTGGAATAAGCTGAACATTCAGTTTAGGAATTTTTTGCCTTCTCACAGATATTTCATTAAATCAATGTTTAGCATGATGGGAAAGTTCATCCAATAATATGGTATGTGTCATTCTGTATATTTGCCCTTGGTTTATTTGGATGTAGCGGAATCAAAGGAAGCATAATGAATGTTTTACATTGCAAAAAGGATTGTTATTCCATATCACATCTTTTATTTTCAAAATTTAGAATTATATAAAGTCGTTTAATGCAATTGGGGATTTGTTATATGTGCATAATGAAACTTTGACTGTTAGGATTACTAAACTGGTAAGGAGTATGCCTAGTAAATCAGTTATAAAGTAACTGTGGATGGTAGCTTCAAATTAGGAGCTGCAGATGCTGGATGAATCTTTAGAGATTGGCTTGGAAATGGTTTGCTTTACTTATATGCTCCTTGTGAAGTGTTTTCTTCTACTTTTACTGATTTAACTGTTGTTTATTATTGTTTACTGTTTGCTCTAAGGATTCGAATCCGGAACTTTTGCATCGAGGCCGACTCCTTGCATACTTTTCAAGTTTCTATGGGGAAGTCAAAACACCTCTGGTATACTAGTATATTGTGGAGGAAGATTGTCAAATTAATGTGAAGCCTTACTATAAAATGGGGGAGGCCAATAAACCTATGGATTTCCTTGTTAAAACAGGTGCTTCAAGTAGTAATGCTTGTGTGAGTTCCTGGTTTAATGAGCTCAAGAGACTTTTTATTAGCAACCAGTTTTGCATTCCTTGTGTTGGAACTTCTTCTTCAGTGTTTTGGAGATTTATTTTGAGTGAGCTGTTAAGTGTTGGTGAAGGATCCTTTTAGGTTTTGTTTTGAGTGAGTTTGTATTTGGGTTTAGTGATCGCCTCAATCCATATTTTGTAATTTACTTTTGTAACACCTAAATTTAGTTTATGTTTTATACCACACAAATCTTTTTTTATCACAGCAAAAAAACCACTATTTTACCTTTAAAAAGGTGAAATACACCCTTTTTCAAGAATAGGTAGGGCGATATAAACGTAAAAGCTAAAGTTTAAGTGTTAGATATGCAAATATATAAGCAATGGGTGGTATGCATGTAAATTTTCCTTTCTAAGTGTTGAGAAATTAGGGTGAATAAAAACAGGAATCGACACAAATCCTGATGAAACACACAGAGATTTAATGAGGTTCGGCAAAGATGCCTACATCCTCGAGAGCAGAGCGGCGGCTTTCTTTCAATATTTAGAAAAGAGTACATAATACAGAATATGGGATAAGACCTAGGATCACATACAGGTATTTATAACTCTAGAAGATGCCTACGTCCTCGGGAGCAGAGCGTCGACTTTCTTTCAATATTTAGAAAAGAATACATAATACAGAATATGGGATAAGACCTAGGATTACATACAGGTCTATTTATAACTCTAAAAAATCCTGGAGTACAATATGTAATTACCCATGTACCTCACCCCTCAACCCAATAAGGAAACTCCCGCAATTTGGACAAAATCTTTCGATCCGTTCCGTTCATGTCTCTTGTATGGTATATGAGCCATACCATAACACTAATATAATCAAAATTGAAGGGAGAAAAAAAAAATGCAGAAGAGAAGAAGAACCAAATAAAACTCATCATACTAACTAATAATAATTTATCCACAGGCTTTCACTACTTCTAACCGAAACTCTATAATGTAATAGGTTGTGGTAAAAGGCACAGGTTCAGGTACAATAAGAGCAAATACCACATTCTTTGTAATTCTTGCACTATTTACTAAAATTATTACACCACAACAACAACAAATTCTCAAAATTATAAATGGCACCACAGCTAAACCTTATAATTCATTTCCTTCAAGAAAAAAAAAAGATAAAAGCACTCTTGTACACATTTAACTAAGAAAATGTAATGACTGGAGGATATATGGATGAAACCTGCCAAGCAGACCTGCTTCCCTCCTTAGGATGTAATATCAGTTCTCTAATGGCATCAATTATCTGTCAGGCTTCTGATAATACCTTCAAATTTATATGTGCTCTTTAAAATTTGCTAAATTTTAGATTCAAATAATAATTACACGCGAGATCAGCACCCCAATGGCTTTCTTTCATCTCTCTTTTATTTACATGCTTGTAGCACTGAGACTTTTATCACCTGCATTCCTTTTAAGAATTCAAGTTGGAAGAAGGGTTCCTGAAGGTTTAATATAAGATGCGAAACGAAAGAAGGACGAACTTATGACAGTATACCTTTTCCGCTTGCTCTTAGAGGTGCTGGATGAAGATGGATTGCTGTGCCAGTTTCTCTTCCTTTGGTTAATGAACCAGTTGTTTATCTGCTTTAGCTGCAATCCAGTTTCCTGTACCAGTCCTGCCTTGTCGTCCTCCTGACATTTAAAGCGGAGTTATGAATTCATCAGGTGGTTGGTGTGACACAAAATGTCGTAGAAAATGCAAGGGTGTTCTTGTTTTGTGGAGTGATTAACTCTTGCAAAGACAATGTATCAAATTAATTTGAAAATAGCGACCAATGTATCAAACTAATTTAGGCTCTCACCCCTCATTTGCTTCACATTTCAGCATGGTTAAATTAATGAATTTATTTCAACAACTCAAAGTTAAAGAGATTTAGCATTCGAAAACTATAGACTTGATGTACGCCTAACCTTAAGTAGATCTAGCAATACAATGCGCGTTACAAGAAGCAGAGGATATTTGTTGAAATATAAGCAAAACCCAATTGAAATAAATCAAAGAAAAAAAAGTGGGAAGTTTACTGTTGGGTAAGGCCACTTGGAGTGGGATTGCCACCAAGCCTTTAAAGTGGAAGTGGTATCGCCTGGGAGTTTTCCAGCTCTTCTCTTCCGTAAAATCTCCTCTCTAATATCAACAATTTTTTCTTTGTAGCCCTGAAAAATAACAGTGATAGTTAGCCAACAACATTTTTAATGGAGTTGTATAAAATGGATGCCAACCTGTTTCAATTCATGTTTTAGTTCTTGCCTCACGCGCTCCATTAGGGATCGCTCGCTCTCTGTTGGTACGAGAGGCCCAAAACCCATACTATCAGGGCCATCCAAACTTCCATCAAAGAAATTTGTTTCACTGTCTTCTTGGTCGTCATCATCATCAGACATTGTTGCACCAGTGCCTTCACCAGGGGTTACACCTGTCATTGAAAAATATTAAATAAAAGAAAACATCCACAAAACATTGCCCACTAAAAGAGATGAGAAATCAAAATAGAAATCTATCAACCAAGCAAAAATATAATGAATAAAAAAAGGTTGAAAAATAAAAGTTATAACATAAAAAGTTAAAAACTCAACAATACTTATTCTTCTCACTTTTATCCACCTATGTGCTGATATCGCTGTTAATTTAGTTGAGCCCTTCACCAATCATAAATCATCAACCAGTGTAGGGCAAACATTAGTAGACAATGAAGCGTACAAAAACAGTGTAGTTTAAGAAAACTGGTTATACAATAGCCAACAATTTATAAATTTTGATTTAACAATGCCTCATTTTAATAAGTTAGGCAGGCAACTTGGGCTTGCAGATAGGCTATAGAATTGACTGCACCTTGGGAGCGGAAGAAACAGCTCTGTTTTATGTAGCTATTCACTTTCAGAATATTACAGGTTCCTTCTAAGGGGGGGGGGGGGGGGGGGGGAATAAGCTT